GTCACGACCCCTCCTTGAAGTATCGAAGCCGATGATCAATAGCCGGTCGTAAGGATCCGACAGTACGACACGTGGCAGCGCCACGTCAGCAGCAATACGTGGCAACTGCCACGTCAGCAGATCAGAGACAGTCGCCAGCCAGATAGCAAGCCAGCCAGCGGTAACTCACCATGTCAGGAAACGCCGGCCTTCCTCCAGTCTCGCAGCGTCAAACCAAGGCTGCGAGAGTCAGGCGCTGAAAACAGCGTCAACGCAAGACAGCCAGAATTCCCAAAGTCAAGGAGCCAATGCCCTTATAGTGTTGACTCGGGGTCTGATCCCCGGTAATATCCAACCTCAGCCGTCCAGATCTCCCTGCCTGGAGGGTCGGGATAGATCTGCAACTGTATCTTCTTTGGCCTGGGTCGTAGTCTGGGTACCTGCACTCAACAAGTGAATGAATCTGATCCAAGACCTGGCATGGTACTTTGACTGACAGTTGATTTTGACCTTTGATTTTCCTAAGTCTTGGCGTTCGGTCCCACAGCCGTACGCAGTTTACTCAGGCCGGGGCATGTGTTGGTTACACAGCCCGGCGCAGTCTTCCACAGACTGCGTGGCCTGGGGCTAAGGGTTGGGCCCCAGGTCGACTGCTGAACAGGGTTATTACACACTGCACATTTTACAGTTTAAGATCTGCCACCTGCAGCGCCTCCAGAATACCTGTAGGTACGAGCTCCGGAAGCTCGTCTTTCACTTAGACTGTCTTCGGTGCCTATATGATTACAGCCCACATTAATAGTTCGTCCTGTATATTGGTCTGTCATAAAATCTGGTTCAGTGTACCATCTCCAGCAGTGTTGTCTGCTGGCTCCACCGATGCGCATTGATGTGACCGGCAGAAAGGGAAATAAGCAGATTACGGTTTGAACTGACTTTTTTTTTTTTTTTTTTTTACTTTCATGTTTTATACCCCTACCAGCGACTGCTAAGACTGAATTGGTGATTACTAAATTCGCCAGTAACTCGATCAAAGATTTTCGATTACCAAAAACCATTGTAAGCAACAAAGATGTCTGTTTCATGAACAGTGTCAGAACCTGGCTCAGAAACTGGGTTCAGAACTCAAACACGTTGACTTCAAGAAATCATCCCTGAAGCTAACGGGCAGACTGAGCAAGTGAAAAGACTAGTGCAACTGCTTCTGCAGCATTTCATCTCTCCTGATCAGCTTGATTGAATGTTCAACTCCCTCAGATAGCTGAGCTGTATAATAATTATATGCACTCAATTGCATTTGGCATGGAAGCCGAGAATGCTTCTGGACTTTTTGTTTCCAAACCCCAAACAGCAGTTAGCGCCTGCAACAGTAGTATATGCCCTGGACGAGCCTGGAGTATGAAAGATGTAGGAACAGACCGTAAAACAGTTACATAAATGTCAGAGGGCAATGGTAGAGTCAAAAAATCAGCACGACAGTTCTCCATATTCCACGTAGGTGATAGAGCTTGGGTTAGAGCCTCTGAGTGTATGCTAGAGCTAGACATATCAGGGAAGTTGACCCAAATTATTTTAGGCCCTGGGCTGTTGATAGACTTTGCAGGGAGTGATCCTGATGGCCGTTTCTATGTGATTGATATCCTGCCACATCTCCACACTTAACGCTTTGTTCCACACATCCAAACTATTGCCTTCTACACACAGCGATCAGGTCTCTTCTCGCAGCTCGATTTTGCCTCCAACCATGAGTGGATGTCAGGTCGATGGTGATCGAACTGTGGACCACAGAGTAATACCTGTTCAGAAGCCATGGGGTAGGAGAAGACGACTATCTAAATCAAAGATGCAGTTCAAAGTGGCATTTAAGGGTTCTACAGAGGGCTCTGAACCTACGGGGTGGGAATGTGAGGGTCCAGGCCTCAGCGAGCCCAGAAAGGGGCCGCCTACAGAGAATTTTCCCGGCCATAAGTGAAGGCCGTGGCAGTAAGAATATGCCACGCCTAAGTGAAGGCCAGCATGACACAATTGGAAGGGAAGGTTGGAACCCTACCTCTTCAACCAACCAGTAGGCCCAGGGACCCAGACCTAGAGCCACTTGGTTCTCAATCGCCCAGCGCATGGCCTCCAGACAGAAACAAAAGGAGGGAGGCTGTGGCATTCGGAGGCACTGGCTGCAAGCGCGAGCTCTGCCGGAGCACACAGTGGGCCAGTGAGCCCTAATTGAAGGAAGGAGTGAGAGGAGTGGCGAACGTAAGCCTCTCTGCCCAGCAGCATCGCTAGCTGCACTGGGAGAGGAAGAAAGGTGGCGCTGTGACTGCGAGATCAGGGAGAAGGACAGCGGTGGGGACTGGTGGTACTTACCGAGTGATGGCTAGGATCACACTCATGGTGGTCCCGACTCTGCAGCATTGTTTGGCGAAGGAATAGCGGACAGAG